GCACTTGGATTCTCCTGTCTTACACTATGAAGAAAATATCTTCTTCATCCCATTATTTCAAATATTACAATTTTGATTATTGTACTGATCTTTAGCGATTCTATGCTACCACCAAGTCTCTCTATATATTCATTCATTTTGAAGAAACCAATATGCTTTTATAGGTCTTGTATTTCTTCTTCTTTCTGCTATTTTCAGATTGAATACTCTTCACATAGAGTTTCTTATCTTGCTAACTCTGCATTACATCTATATGAAGTTGTACTATAATAAACCATACTCATGGCACACTATAAAGCCTTTTAAAATGAGTCTTAAAAGTCTATATAATTGGGAATTCAAGGATGTGCCTTAACATGATACATCTGTTAATTTACTGCAGCATAGAACATGATTATCCCATAATAAAAATATGATATCTGTCAACTTATAAAAAGTTTATCGTCGAATCCTTTTGAGTATTGAAATAGATTAAAAAATATAAAATAATGATCAGTTCCATTCCTAAATCACACCATATAGTGAGTTTTCGTTTCAGTGATATTTAGGTCACAATGAAATTTTCTCAGCAGAAAATCAGATTGAGCATCTCTCAATAAAAAATTGTTTCTCTCAATTCTCAAAGAATTTCTTCTTAAAATTTTTTGTGTTAAAAACTAGACTCAAAACCAAATCATAGCATCATAGTTTGAATCTCAAATAATATTTTCCTTCAGATAAATAAATAAGTGACATTTATGTCACAAAATAAATCATGCTGCAGAATTACAGGATGAACATTATCTAATAAACTTGTTTTTTCTCTCTACTATCATGAAGTTTCTTTTTCAAACTAATTTTGTTTGAAATTAGACACATACTAGAAATACATATATTTTCACAAGCTTTATATCACTCTGTTAAGTCGGCATGATAAATATAGATATTTATGTCTTCATTGAATAACATACCAAATTACAAAAAATTCAGGATAATCTATCTTCAATCCAAAATTTTTATTCCTCTCTTTAAATAAGTTTTATTAGAAAATAGAATCAGAATGGAAGTCTAAAAATTTAGTGTGGACCATAAAACATTCTGTTAAGTATAGAAATAAAATCATGACTTCTAAGTTATGGAAATAGTTTTTGTTACAGAAAACAACACTTGTGCACCCTTCAATAAATTGATCATATCTTTCAAACCATAAGAAATTTTTTGATGAAATATTTTTTTGCTTGAAAGTAGACTCAATTTTGTGAATGAAGAGTAAAATTTTAGTAACAAATAAAATCATATGATTTTGAACTCAATGAATAGTTTCTGAATTTTACAAGGTCAGAACTGATACCCTTCATTGATGATTCCATAACCCTCAATTCCCTTAGGATTTTCCATTGAAAATTTTTAGGTAGATTCTACTCTTAAAGACACAAAATATCACTGAGGTATATAATAGAAACATACTTCATTATCTTATTCATATCACTACTCCAGAATAGCCCAGAATACTTATTCTGTAAAGTGCCTTTTTAGTGTTGGAGTATTTTAATAATTCTTAACCGTGGGTGTATTTCTTGACCATAAAGGTCATTAACTTTCTTATATCTCATTCCCAAACTTGATCTAAACTCAATAAAGAGAAAGATAACTAATGACATCAAGTATCAATAACACTGATACCAATGAAAGAAAGAAAAACCTATGTGATCTTTTATCAGGGAATACATTTTTTTTTTTCTCTTCACCCCTTTCTTTTGACAAAAGATCATTTACATGTGGACTCTATTATAATAAGATAAATTTCAAAATAAAATCAACATAATAATGAAACCAATATCTTAACAACTTGATGCCATTGAAACAACTATGTACTATCCTGAGAATAAAATATAAGATTGCAAGAAACAAAAGGAAGAGTGCCAGAGATTACCTCAACCAAGCTTATTACACCCCACACCGAGTCACCACCATCTGATGGCGTGAGATCAACAGTATAGCTTCAATCTCGAACCGAAAAAATAAATTTCGACCAAGCCATACCAATGGAACATGAGTCCCTTTGATTAGGTGAATTATCTTAGCAACCTAGTTTGAGAGAGATGAATTCTCTTTTTGCTAAACCCTAAAACCCGTAGCCATAAATCCATATTTGAGAGATAGGAGAGAAGAACTCTATAATCTAAACCCCTAGGTTCTTTCACAATGTGGGAGAGATAGATAAATTTTCTTAAGAGAGAAATAGAAAGATAAGGTGTAGCGATTTTTTGGTAGAGACAAATCTTTTTTATAGGCTTTGAATAAGATTAGGGTTTTCTTTGGCTTACCTCTTATTGTGAGATTGAACATCGACCGTTGATCAATGGTGACTTGTGGGGTGAGAGATCTGAGTCATCTATTCCATAGATGGGCCATCAACATTATGGAAGGTGCATGAACCATTATCCCCATTTTCTAAACCATTTTTTCATCAATATATTTAAATAAAATAAATATCATGCATTCTATAAAATTGCACGATCTATGCCACATATTCCATAAGGATATGTCAAATAATATCAAGTAGATAAATGCTACCAAATATAAATAAGATAAGATCCATATCAATTCAAATTGACCATATCTCTTTAAAATAAACTTGTTACAAAATAGATAAAGCCATGGTCAATATATCACTTCCAGGATTTGACTATATGCCACAAATCAAACTAACATTATCTTAAAAGCAAACAATAGAATCCAAAAAAGGTGGGGTGTGCCACCCTTTTGTGGCACATGTGAGCCCCCACCCACATGCCACATGGTAGGCCCATATGTACTATGGGCCCCCATGAAATATTATAAAAACAAAATATTATTTTTAAAATTAAATAAAATAATTTAAAATATATATTTGAATTTTTATAACTTTGTAAGAGCAATAACTGTATTTTTATAAGTCCAAAAATTACAAATAAAATATTGAGAGATTCATAAAATTCAAATAATAAAACTACAATAATTTCAATAATAAAATGAACACAATTAAATTAATATGATGGATAAAGGATCCATATGGTTTTAGAAATCTAATATGCAATAACAAGGTACTCCACCTTCAACTGTAGACTACAGACCATACTAGCTTTATCAAACCGACCCAGTGTTTCTCATGACCCACAGTCCAAGCAGGGGCTCATTAGCTGGTCACCAAAGTCCGGCTGATGAGCCAAGCAATCTTAGTCTGTGGATTTCTGGTCCTCCCCTAAAAACGAGTCAAGGTCACCTAGACTTGATGCGACCATAGTTCCTATGGTGCATAGGGGTATCTCTCGCACATGCATACGCTTCACTCAAAGGTGGATATCTGGCTTTCCCGAACGATCTATCAATATGCATGCCGTGTGATGAAACATGGATGAGGTTTTGGCCTCTGTCTTAGTTGGCCACCATCACACACAAGGGTCACACAGTTCCTCGGCTCACTCATCCGGGCATGTTCTCCGACCTCATCTAAGGCTAACCCATAAACCCTCATCGGTTTGTTCCTTATGCTCAGGTAATATGGGTTTTTCCCAACCGATTGGCCTATATCATTAAGCACATATCGATATCAGCAAATCATCATTTACTTAGTATGGTCCACAAGGGACCACACTCTCACTGAGTTCATGTTCTACTATATTATTTCATTTTACAAGCACTCATAAGGCCTTTAAAGGCCACATAAACCCAACAAAATTAGGTGACTATATTTAATTTATAAACTAAACTCAAAGTTCAAACGAAAATTTTCTTGAGCATTATGACACAACCAACCTATTAGATTTCACATTGTATAGTTATAATTAATTGTGACCTTCTTGTCAAAAGTAAATGGTTTTATTTGTATACAATCCCTTGTATATTATTGGCGGCACTTTAGCTGCCATTTGTGCTTAGTTTCCAAGCTTCTAATATTTTGATTGGCTGCAGTTGCTTCTATCATTTTTTATTTCGAAGGACAGGGGAAGAAGAGGTGGAATCCCCTTCTTGAGGTTGAAGAGGATGACATCAAGGTTTTAGTTGAAGATTTACAGTTTTTTGAGGAGAACAGAGATTATGCTCGAATTTTCAATAACTTTGACATGAAAACAACTACAAAGTTAATTAATCTCAGTATTTTTGGCATGATGTTTTTGTGAATCTCAAAATTTTTTATAGCATGGATGAGGTTTTTATAACACCTAGGATTTATAAAAATAAAATAAAGCTTCATCTCTATTCTTCTTCTGAAAACTATTTCCGGCAAAAAAAATCTCTATGATGGCTCTAAAATCAATTTTCAATACCAACAACAAAATTTGAAACTAAAAAAATGATACAGATCTTGCGGATATGTGAATATGTATTTTAGGGTAAAATTGACGTTCTAAATAATTTGTTACAATATACATTATTTTTAGTGCTTAAAATCCTAATTTTTTTCTCAACTATATGTTTAAGTCGATATGATCGACGTAAATGTTTAATTTTGGATGAATTATAAGGTGAGATTTTACTTACTTTGATGGGGCTAAAGCCCCATCAAACCATTTTCATTTATGTATTGAATTCTTGTTGTACTATGGTTGTTGAGGGTTTTTTTCTAGAAAATTGTTTTATGCGGCAGGGACTGCATTTCAACATTTACAGTCTTTGAGGTATAAAACATTCATTTTAAAAATAGATGCAAATAGGTGATTCATCTAAAAATAATTGAAAATAATGGTCCAACTGTTTTTGTAATAGAATTATTATTTTTAAAATTTTAAAGTTATTTAATTTTTTCATACTCCTTATATATAGGTTAGAAATTACATGTTCTTTAAAAATTAGTTCCAAAAATCCATATCAAAAATTCATTTTTACATATACCCATAGAAACCGTGTCGTATTCTTTGCGGGCATCAATTCGAACGTTAAGTGACCATAAGGATTTTTGGTCTTAATCAGTTTTCAGAAGGGTAAAAAGGGTAAATAACAATTAGGGTTTTTGTAATTAAAATAGAGACGAGGGGTTTAATCCTCTCTCTCTCAGGCGTCCACCGAAGAGTTTAGGGCAAGATTTCAGGCGAGGTTCCAGTGACTTCCGGGCAGTTTACGGCCAAGAGTTTACACCAGGTGAATGTTTGTTTGCATTTTACTTCAGAAATTTCAAAATAAGTGAAAGAAATTATGTTTTTGCCTTTTTGTCTTGTTGGGTTTAGGAAAAAAAAATGTTATGCTTTACTTTACGGCGAGAATCTGATGACATTATGCATTCTTTGTTTGTTTTTCGGTTTCGGTCTGGAAAATGCACAAAATGAACAACAGAAAACAAAAAAAAAATTAAGACAAAAATAAAAAGCCAGAAAAGAATAAAGAAAGAACAGAGAATGAATTTCTTTTTTATTCTTTCCATTTGGGATTTCCAAAAATTTAGAGAATGAAAAAATCTATTTAGTAAATAGGAAAAAAAAAAAAAAACAGAAATATGGTTTGGGCAACTTTTTTTTTTAACCTTTTTATCAATTTTGGTTTGGACTTTGTAAAATGCAAATAGGAAAAACAGAAAATGCAAAAAACAAAATAAAAAGAAAAAAAATCGAAATATGTTGGGGCGTTTCTTTTATGCACACTTTTTTCAGTTTTGGTTTGGAAAATGCAAAAAGGAAAACAGAAAATTAATTGTGATATATTATTTGAATTATTGTATTGTTAATGAGTATTTACTTATTGTTTTGTTTCTAATATTTTTTTGAAATTTTCTTTTATAAATTTATTTTTATAATTTTTTTTTTCATTTTTCCATACCAAGGTTTAAAAAAAACGGATCGGTGAGCCGAATCATTCACACCCATACCTTTGTCCGATCGGTGGATCGGATATCGGATCCGATAATCCGCTAAATCGGCAAATTTTGTCCCAAATTTTTTCAAAAAATCACTATAAATAATTCTGTACTTCCATTATTTTGTAAAAATAGATGAATACTGAGATGTTGTTCTCCGCTCTGTATGTCTGTATAATTATTAACTATAATATAATATTATAATATGGAAAAAGTTTATATAAGGTTGCAACCTTAAAATGTAGAATTACAGATGCACCCCAAAAATCCATCGGAAAAGGTTCTTTCAATGTTGAAAAACCCTCGAATTGATCATCTCGACATCGAGATGTATAAATATGAAGAAAAAAAAAAATTTTAAGTCTCAGAAATAGTGCATCTTGCAATACATTATTTAGACCATCAATTTTCAAGATTTTCATATATTTATAGATCTACTTTATTTTAACCCTTTTGGAGTTCAAAATTTTATAATTAGATAAAAAAATAGATTTTCAAATAATCCTAACAATATTTTACACCAAAATTACATGTTATGATCAAATTTGGAGGTGTGCCTTGATTGTATTGTTTAAGGTTGTAACCTTATAGAAACCACATCCTTATAATATTGGTTCAAAATAATTTAAAAATATTAGAAAACACTTCCATATTATAAAATTTTTAAAAATAATTTTGCATCAAACATTTAGTCCAAAATTATCACAGCCTAACTAACTAGAATATTATACATTGAAACTGGAATTATTGGTTTATATTTGTAATCATTTTACCATACAAATAAGAATAAATTCGAAATTTATAATATCATCTAATTTTAAAATCTAATTTACAACTACCACAAAAAAGAAATTTTCTCGAACTTTGTGATACACTCAAGCTATCAAATTTCGCATCGGATGGTTATAAGCAATTGTGACCTCCTTGTTCAATAAGTAAATGTTCTCGTTGTATATTAAATGTTATACTAAATGTGATTATAATATTATACTAAATGGGATTCAATATTATACTAAATGTGATTCAAAAAACAAGATGGCTCTTGTATGTATATTTGAATTGCTTGTATATTTTTTATAATAAATGTAATTAGTTACAAAAATACTTTAAATTGTTAATATATTTTTTATACTTTAAGAATTAAAAACAAGCAGTGCTGTTATATATATGTTTTGCCACCCAAAATATATTTTTCCCAAATTAGTTTTCTATTTGAGCAAGTATTAGTGCTCTTGCATATATATTTGGGTTGAGTAGGACGCTTGGTCCTTTTTTTTTGGGGCAATTAACGCTTGGTCCCCTTGCAGCGCAAAGTTTGCACGCATAAAAACGGATGGCCAGGTGGGAGAATTTGCATGCATGGGACAAAGTTTGCATAGATTATTCCACATCGATAATTTTAAGGACAATCCATTTCTATAAAATGCTTGAGGCACACTTCTTTCATTGCATACCGATTACGTGGGACGCACGGTCAGGTGATGAGTATGATGCGATGACATTAGTTGAGATGGGCTGCCAATTTACTGTAGCGACACAATGACGTGTCCAATTTAGTGATGTCATACTATGCATAATCGTTGTGTTATGACGTTAGTCCACCGAGGTTGTACAGAAAAATCTGTGAATCCTATTTTATTATCAGATCTGAGACGGTCCAGTCGATTCTCGATCCGGATCGCCCAATTCTGGAACAGGACGGCGAATTTTAAATTTTTTAGACATTGTTCCATACGAAGGTTTAAAAATTCGCCGTCTCGATCTCGAATCGAGCGATCAGGATCGGGAATAGGTTGAACTATTCTGGATCCGATCATGAAATGGGATTTGTTGATTTTTCTATGCTGACGTCATGACATGGTGATTTTGTACAGTGTGAGGTCACTAGATCGTGTCGTTACAATAAATTGTTTTTTGAATTTTTTGAAAAATTGTTTTTTGAACTTTTTTAAGGGTAGTTTTGAATTTTTTTCAAGGGTAGATTTGAATTTTTTGAAAAATTGTTTTTTGAATTTTTTTCAAGGGTAGATTTGATTTTTTTTCAAAATTAAGGGCAACTGCCCATCTCAACTGACGTCATGACATCACACTTATCATTTGATCATGCGTCCCATTCAATCGGTACACAATGAAAGACGTGTGCCTCAAGCATTTTATAGAAGTGAATTGTCCCTAAAATTTTAGATGTGGGACAATTCTTTGCAAACTTTGTCCCATGCGCACAAATTCTCCCACCTTACCATTTGTTTTTATGCGTGCAAATTCTCTCATCTAACCATCCGTTTTTATGCGTGCAAACTTTGTAAATCATAGGGACCAAACATTAATTGCCCAAAAGAAAAGACCAAGCGTCTCGCTCAACCCAAATATATATGCAAGTGCATTATGTACTTGCTCAAATAGAAGACTAATTTGAGAAAATATATTTTGTGCGGCAAAATATATATGCAAGAGCACTGCTTATTTTTTAATTTTTAAAGTATACTAGCAACCCAAATATTGCTTAAAAAATATACTAGCAATTTAAAGTATTTTTTAAACTAAATACATTTATTATAAAAAATATACAAGCAATTCAAAATATATATGCATGAGCCATTTTGTTTTTTGAATCAGGATTAGTATAATATTATAATTAATAGTTATAGTAATTACATTGATGACCAAATCTTATATATTATTTATGGGAAAGTATATAATGAGACCATTTGCCTTTTGTACAAGATGGTCACAATTAATCTTGACCATTGGATGTGAAATTGGGTGGCTGCGTTTATTGCATTCACCAAGCTCAAAGTTCAAAAGAAATTTTCTCTAACTTTGTGACACACCTAAGCTATCAAATTTCACATCGGATGGTTGTAGGTATTTATGACCTTTCTATACAAAGGGTAAATGGTTTCATTGTATACAATCTCATATTTATTAATATATTTATATTATAAATTATATAATGTATTATTTTTTTGTTATAGTTGTAAATTAAATTTTTAGATCAGATGATATTATAAATTTCAAATTTATTCTTATTTGTATATTAAAATTATTATAAAATATAAATAAATAATTTCAATGTATAATATTATAGTTAGTTAGATTGTGATAATTTTGGATGAGTAAAGAGAATTAATAAATGTTTGATGTGAAATTAAATTTTTTTAATTTTATAATATAGAAGTGTTTTCTAATATTTTTAAATTATTTTGATGCAATATTATAATACAGACATCCAGACATGACAGCAACATCTCAATATTCACCTATTTTTACAGAGTAATGAAAGTACATAATGCACCACTCTTAATTTCTTTTAGAAACTAAATGAGCAATATTTTTAGAGATTTATAGTAATTTTTTGAAAATTTTTGGGACAAAAATTGCCGATTCTCCGATCTGACATGGGTATGGGTGTGAACGATTTGGGTCACCGATCTGTTTCTTTAAACCTTGTTCCATACTTTTATCTATTTTTCCTTATTCTACTATTTTAGTAATTATTTGATTTCTTAGACTGGTTTGATTGGTAAATTGCTGCGGTTCAGCCACGGTTCGGTTGCCGGTCCAGTCTTGACAACATAACTCCCAATTTCTAGGGTTTCTTGGGTCTTAGGGTTTAGCAGCCATGGCGACTACAAGAGTTCAACGTATTATGACCCAGCCTATTGTAAGACATTTTCTCTCTCATTGTTCCTTCGTTTATTAAAGTAGGCATTATTTTGTGCGCCCATTACTATGATATGGCATACTGATTTTATTTTCTTGTTTCTCCTCTACAGAATCTCATTTTCCGGTTCCTCCAGAGTGTAAGCCATTCTCTCTTTATCTTTCTGTGTACCCCTTGATTATCATGTGGTGATGCTATCAAGATATGCAGGCTTCATTTAAAAATATGGGATTTCTGCAATAAGTGTTCTTTATTTTCTTGTGTTCAGAAAGCTCGGATCCAGATTTGGCTTTTTGAGCAGAAGGATTTGCGAATTGAAGGGCGCATAATTGTAAGTGATTTTAAATCTGTATTCCTTTCTTCATGTGTTAAATATACATTTTGTGTATCTATTTCTTTGGGTTTTCAAAGCTGTAGCGTCCAGATTTCCATGTTTTAGTGTTCTCAAAAATTGCTGAGCTTTGGGGTTAAAGTTTCTTTTAGACCAAATGAACTGCCAAGGTTAACTTTTGTTTTATTTACTTTTACTCTGTTGGTTTGCTCTTTGCGCTGAAAGTGACCTTGTGTGATTGGTTCTGTTGTTTCTATGTTAAAATGATCGACATTTGTGTTTCTTGTTAAGCTTTATGGTAAACCAAGCCATTTGACCACGTATTATTTGGGAAAAAGTAAATGAGATAAATTCTATTGAGAATTAATGTTTGGCAGCACTTTTTTAATCATATATTAGGTTGCTTGTGAATTAACAGGAAGCCCTTCTTTATCTTTTATAGACTAAGCTATGGTGTTTGAATTTGGAATCCCCTTTGTTTAAAATTTTATGAAAGGCTAAACCTTCTAAATATGCTAGCTTAACCGAGTGGTTTTTTTGAGAATAGCTTAACCGAGTAGTTGATGGTAGGCTATTGAACAAACTGCGTTTAAGGGTGTTGGATTTGGCTAGAATGGTCTTTTTGGCGTGAGATGGCTCAGTTCCATCAAAATTCGATTGAATTGTCGGGGTTCTTTGGTTTTAATAACATTGATCCCTCCAGTTGCAGGGGAGATTGAATTTGGTTCTCCGACCTATCAATGGAGTTTTGTGTCCCATCTCTACAAGAATCCATGAAACAATCTTGTATTGAAAATAGCTTGCTGATGTTCATATCTTCCCCTACCGTTCAGTCCTTTGACTTGGAAGTTGCATCGATGACTCCACTTACTTTACTTTCGTTGCTCAACCACACTCTTCCACAACTTCACAGCGATCGTAGGATTATGCTTATTGATGGTCGAGTGCTGATGAATGCGGCTAGAGGTCATAGATGTTTATAATTTTGAAGGAAACAATGTATCTATGACCTCTAGCCACATTTATGTGCTGTGATAGATGTTTAAGCGCTTATTGACAGAAACTTACGGCAGAGAACAAAACAGAACTCTATATCTCCCTGATTCAACAAAATCGATGTTTATAATTTTTTGTCCGTGGGATTATGCTTATTGACGGTCGAGTGCTGATGAATTATTTTCAGTTCTCAACATTATCATAAGCTAAATTGATTGTGGCTGCCCTATCGTCAAAATTCTCTCTATTATGAGTAGAAATGACAGGGAAACCTACACTGAGTATGTTATTTTCTTTAAATCTATCTGACAAAAGTTTCTTGTCTCAATGGCAAAGGGGTTGATATTTGGGCCACCCTATCTTTGGATGGTTGTCTTTGACCTTGCAGGAGGCTTGTCTTGTGCTTCATCTTGTACCTTCAAAACCGATGATTGCTTAGTGTTTCTTTAAATTTATTTTGTTCTTTATATACAAACTGATGATCTGGCAGGGGTTTGATGAGTATATGAATCTGGTCCTGGATGATGCTGATGAACTCAACATCAAGAGAAACACCAGGAAGCCCCTTGGTGGGTAAAACATATTTACCTTTGTTCAACATATGTACCTAGTTTATTGTACTCTCTCTCTCTCTCTCTTCCTGCCATTAGTGTTAATGTCGTAGTTTTTTGTTTTTCTGCAGGCAGGATTCTTTTAAAAGGTGACAATATTACTCTCATGATGAGCACGTAAGGAAATTTATATCCCTTTCCAAAACCGTTACCGTGTTTCTCTTGTGATATTTAAAGTCTTTGAGCCCGTTTCTTTTCTTATTCCAGGGGAAAATGATTGGAGGATCTGGAGCACTCATACCCGATCGCGTTTGGATCGTATTATCATGTGTCTCCATCCTTGCACTTGAATTTTAAAATCTTAGAACACTCACAAATCCTCATTTACAATCAGAGCCTTCTTTGTACCTATGTTGTATTCGCTTTCCATTTTGAAGTAAAATAGTTGTTTCTCATTTACTTTGTGCACTACACTTGAGCAATGGCTGATTAAAATCCTATGTAAGAGTTTCATGCCAATGTGTAGCCCATTGGTATGAACAGGTGACTTCGAAGTATTATCCTCTCTCGACTTTCGAGTGCAAAAACTGGATCTGTCTCATGCATAACCCACATGAAAAAGTAAATTTCTTATAATTAATTAGAAGTTAGTAGAGAAAGGGACACAGGACAAAATGCATGGATAGATTAGTCTTTACGGTTCATAAACCATGACTAAAGCATCACCCATATTGAGATAGGCCAGTCATGTAGCTTACTCAAGGTGCCAGTGCTTTCCAGGGATTTTTTGACAGTATGGTAGAAACCATATAATTCCACATTTGTTTTCCGTTGGATAGATCTGAAATTTTTGAGTGTTTATACGTCTAAAGATCAAGCATCTATGTAAAATATTAATAAGTATTTTGCACAAATAAGATAATCAAAATAGCCCAAAAGCTTTGATGGTATTTTGGTTATTTATTTTTTATTAAGATAACTTTCTACATTTATACATCCCAATGAGATGCGACATCTGAATTTTATCTTGATCTAATTTGTAAAAAATAAAATATTTGGTGCTGTGTCATATTTCAAAATTAGGAACATTTAGAAAAGGGGAAATTCCCATTTCCATTTTTTTTTGCCATTTTACTCTTCTATGTGGGGCCGTGGAGGATCCGATTTCTCATTTTTGAGAAATGCTGATTTCTTTTTGTTGTGCATTTCAAGTTGCTAAATGAGTAAGGGTACTGATTTCATGCAACGGAAAAAAGAAAAAATTGATACCACGACATAGAAAATATTTTTTTAGTCTAATTAATGTTTTAGGTCTTGAAAGGATTTATTTTATTTTCAAATTTTTTGGATAGATTTATTATCATTAGATGAATAATGTTAAAAAATAAAAAAATGATTTTGAGTTTAGAAAGGTTAAGATCTTGAAATTCGTAAAATGAGTAGTCTAAATTCGTTTCTGGAGGGGATTCATTTTGCCGATATCTAAGATTCAAATTGAACCTTTTTTTTTTGGGGATTGATTATTGAGAAGAAGAGTGTGTGCAAAATATGGAGTCTTACAAATATTACAAACATGATTTTCTGGAAGTGTTGTTACAGTATACTATGATATAACCATTGCTCAACAAGTACTTATCGTACTAAGAGAGTGGTGAAAGAGAGTCAATAGAAATGAATAAATGCTAGGATGCAAAGAAGAAGAGTGTCGGGGATTTTCAATAAATTTCAAGAAATATTATAATCATGAACCTACATCTAAGATCATTTGACGCTTACAAAAATTCATATAGTTTACAAAAATATTTAGTTTTAAAAATCTCCTTCATATAAAGACTGTAACATTATTTTAGAAGAGTTTGACTGCGTATATGAGCTTGTGGTTATGGATGTTTGCATGAAGAGGTGAAATATAAGTACAAAAAATTTATAGGTGTCCAACAATTAAGGGGTGAAATTTAAAAAAGGTAAAAATAAACTGATTTAGGGATAATTTGATAAAAGAAGGAAAATAAAACTCTGAATGCGAAGTCAATGTTATGTGGATGATTGATTGTTTTAAGAAAGTGACAAACAAGGTTTTAGGAGAAATTAGAGAGAAATTTTTTTATGAAAAACCTTGGTGGTGGAGTGATGTGGTTTACAAGACCATTAATGCAAAAAAATCAGGTAATAAAACCTTGGTGATGAGGTTTAGAAAGCTATTAACGAAAAACGATTACGTTGTAAAACTTGACAATGTAATAATGACCAAAACTTGGAATGATATAAGAATGCTAAGAAAAACGATAAGAAAATAGTAGGACTAAAGAAAGTGAAAATTCAAACTAACAAGAATGAGAGAGGAAGTGTAAAGATTTAGATCATACCTAATGTATTAAGAGTGAGGATCATATGGTATTCGTGAAGGATGACGAGGTCAACGAAAGGTGGGAATTTATTTTCAAAAATTGTTAAACGATGAACACAATTGGAACATAGTGCTAGGATAACCTCTTACATAAATGTGGCTAGAGGTCATAGATACATCGTAGAATTAAGATATTTGAAGTGAAATAAACTTTGAATAGGATGAAGATAAGAAAGGCTTTAGGACTAGTTGGTATTTATGGGGGAATTGACATATACTAGCTAACCAAGTTGTTCAACAAAGTGTTGAGAGTAAAGAAATATGTCAGATGAATGGAAGAAAATAATTGTGATATATATTTATAAAAAATATAAAAGACATACAAAATTGTACAAATTATGGAGGGGTCAAACTTATGAGTCACGCTACGAACTTGTAGAAAAGAGTGGTCGAGCAAATAAAATAAAATAAAATAAAATAAAGTGGTGGGAGGGTGAAGGTGAAGTGCATGAAGTAAGCGGAGGGACATAAGCTGCTTGACAAGGAGGAGTGGGATAGGCTATAAGGCCACCCTTCTTTAAACCAATGTTTTTTTAAAAATAATGAACGAAAAGTATGAAAAGCAAAAAGGTGGATTCGGGACAGGCTCCAAATGGTTCGTTCTAAGGGGTACATGGCCGGTTCGATATTTATAAGAACCTAATCGGCTAGGATGATTCTCAACGCAGATTGGAATTATTATGGAAATTGGATTGTTTAGGATGATTCCTATTTTAGATCAAGTGATTTTAATTTAATCTTTTCCTTCAAACACTAACGGCATCATAGGATAAATCTTTGATTTGATAAAGCATCAACTGAAGTGAATGTCAAGGCCAAACCACAAATAAAGACTGGCAACGGCAACAAAAACTCTCTCTCTCTCTCTCTCTCTCTCTCTCTCTCTCTCTCTCGTCGTCGTACGTACGTACGTACGTACGTTACGTTACGTTACGTTACGTTACGTTACGTTAACGTTACGTTAACTTACGTTACGTTA